CGGCTGTTGTTAATTGCTGTCTTCTTGTTCTTCTTTCTTTGATCCTGTCCAGTGTTTCTATAGAGATCCACTCCTTATGATAGTGTTTCTTTAGGCCCAGAACCTCTTGACACGTTGAAGTTAATGCTTCTTTGATACTTTTCCAGTTGTCCTCCATAGTAGTTTCTTATTCTTTCAGTAGATCCTGTAAGACTTGGAATTTGTTGTTGAGAGTGATCTTGAATTCATTGAGTTTGTCAGTATCTTGAGGGAAGGCTGTATTGAACCTTTGTAGTGCTGTTTGTTCTTCTTTAGCTTCAGTTTTAAATTGGCCACAACTAGGTGGTGATCTGAAGCTACGTCAGGCCCGCTCTTGGTTCTCACATCTTCCATCGTCCTTCGGAACTTTTTATTGATGCAAATATGATCTATCTGGTTCTCTGTAGTGTGGTCTGGTGAGATCCATGTGGCTTTGTGTATACGTTTGTGTGAAAACATTGTGCCTCCTATGACCAATTTGTTGAATGCATACAGATTTGCAAATCTTTCTCCGTTTCTCTCACCCAGTCCATGTTGTTCCATGATATCTTTATATCCGGTGTTGTCTATTCCGACTTTGGCATTTAGATATCCCATCAGAATGGTGAGGTCGTTTCTTGGGCACTCCTCTATGATTGACTGCAGCCGCTCGTAGAATTGATCTTTAATGTCGTCGTTGCTATCATTGGTGCGTGCATAACATTGGATAATATTCATTGTAATTCCCTCCTTTGTTTTGAACGATGCTTTGATGATTCTGGATCCGTGAGATTCCCGTCCTACAAGTGCATTTCGTGCTACTTTGAACAGCATTAGAGCGACTCCCTGAGTGTGTGGAGCATTTTACTCTTCGTGACCGGAGTATAGCAGCATCTCTCCCTTAGCTAGCCTTTTCTGTCCATCTTGGGTCCAATGGGTTTCGCTGATTCCCAGTACTGCCAAATTGTATCTCCTCATTTCTGTTGCTGTTTGACTGCTCTTCCCTGTCTCCCACATTGTTCGGACGTTCCATGTACCTACAAAAATGTTTTGCTCTGGTTGTTAGAAGGGGAATCAGCCTCCTGGCTTCCGAAGGAACTCGACTTTCACCATGAAGCGTCATAATTCTTCTAAATGAAGACTTTCTAACTCCCAGGGCAGAGTTAAAATGGCTGGAATTGTTTTTTCTGGTAAGCGTTTTTTAGCGAGTTAGTTTTCTACGGGATGGTGACGCTAACCCCATGCCTAACCCTCCTCCTTTACCTGAGCTTGGGACCGGCAGTCACTCTAGAAGAGCTACAGGCAGAGTGTGTACTGTATCGAAAAGTACTGCAATATTGCAGTATAACTACTCAATTTGAAATGTGTAAGCCTCGTGCTATTGATAGAAGAAACCAGACAATTAGTAAATCGGTCTTTATTTTGATCTTTGCGCAGTCACATTGGAGCGTGGGATTATTTGTTCAGATAAACAAAGCCTCTTAACATTCGATATAATATAATATGAATTATAAGGCCTATACAAAATAAAGAAGTAAACGAATACTTGAACTATACTGTTTTGACATATGCTTAGTTGTTTGAGGTGAACTCTTAACCAACTAGCCTAAACTGTTACAACTTCCTTTCTAATCGTGGTTTAGGTCGCCTATTGAATATCAACGTGTTTAACAATGATTCATACAAAAAAGTCCCATAACCTATCTAATTGGTTGAAAAGCACAATAAAACCCTTAAAACGTTTCCCGTCTATTTTATTTCATTTTCTCTCTCTCCATCCTAATATCTAAAGTCAGCTTATCTTTTTATTTATGGATATTATTGTTATTATTATCATGATTGGTCCACCGGGCACATTAGATGTTCTTTTCGTTTCTTCTCTTCTTTCTAAACTTACCTTATTCCTAAACATCCGAAGCCCATAAACAAAAACAAATTATCTTGTTTTACAAATTTTGAATTCATTTTACCTTCACCACATATACATTACACATGGAAATTGAGCCCTGAGCAACGAGGTTTGCGCTACCACGTAAATGCCTCAAATAACACTAAACGGCATTATAGACATTCGTAATACACTCAGTTTTTATCTCTCTACTTATCATAACCACAGACGCTTCAAAACCCCTCAGAGGAGTGTGCCATTATACAGATCTATCCCTAGGACCCCAGAAACAAACAACCCTGACTAATGTTGTCTCCCCAACACTTGTGATCAATTTTCTGAAAATAACAGTTTCCCCAATCTTAAGCCTCCGGTTACAAAAAACGCTTCTGTAAACGTCCTCGCCAGCGCAAGTAAACGGTAAGCGTAGCCAGTGAAAAACGTCACCTGTTAAACTTGATTGATTTGATGACTGAACTTCACTACTTCTTTTACACCGGAGAAGATGTAAACGTTCTTCTCGCGGATACTAATTATCGTCCACAAGATCCGCTCTTCAACTTACAAGCAGCAAATGGAGGACCAATCGCCACATACGGAAAAGGATATGTCCTCCTAACGCGGGTTTATGCAAACTCATTCACTGAATTTTCGTCCAATCAGACGTTTTTATGTCGATCACTGGCTAAGATTCTCTTCAACAAGATAATAATATCCTTTCTTAAAGGGCAATGTATGTTACATTCTGCTCATCAACCCAGATAAACGGTGGTAAGTGGACAAAACTACTAGGTTATCTGCTTATAGGATCCTATTTTCGGATTCTCGGTTATATCCCGTCACGGTTAAACACATTAGATCTCCTAGAAATACATCTTTGAACTCATTCATCCCTGGTTTCTGATGAGACTGGGTTGGTATACATCGATTATTAAGGCGTTTCAGATAAGAGCGTCGCCATCATAGAACATCTGTTGCATATTTAACATTATCACCTGCTATACCAGATAATCCATTTTCGTATTGTAAAACAAATTTTTAAAATTTTTCAGACATCATTTGCACATCATCTGCAACAAGGAAATCCGTCCAGAGGGTCACCACAACAATGAACGATGAATTCGGATATTATTCATAATTAACGATGAAGTTTTTGTGAGTGTTCTCATCTCGTGTTTCCAGATTACTTCCATGCAGCCACTGTTACAGCAAACCTCGTGGTTTTGTATGAAAAGAGAACAGTAACAAAGACAGAACAGAAATATTGATAAAAGTGGAACACAAGCTCCATCTTGTCTCAACAGACCTCCGCCATGCAACTAGCGAGACTGAAACGCTTTACAAAACTGAGCACAAAAGTTTAAATGTTCACACCAGTGAGCTTTAATGATATAAAATATTAAAAAGTCACTAAAATGGCGTTCGAATTGCATTTAAACCTAGTAACATGTGCCATGGATGAAAAGCCGATTCAGGGGTTTTCGCGTATGTGTAGGGTGTTTTCGTTAGCTCTTGAGAAGCTTGCTTCTAATCTGTCCACCTGAAGTAAAGTTTTATAAATTACGTGCCTAATATTCACACTTTATCACAGCCACTTCAGTAATTTTTTGTGTTTTCTCGGACAGTCTTCGAGGTTTTCATATTTTCTCGTCACGTTCATCGGGTTAGCCAAGCATTAAAGTAACAAATAGGTGCTGTCAATCACGTTCATTTGTGATTACTGTTAAGCTTTAATTACATATGAACACTAAAAAACTCTTCAATGTGATTTACTATGAAAATGGATATTGATGAAGCTGTGAGGTATTATCATACCATATATACCTCCGCAGATGTCCCACGAGTTCTGTTCAGTAATATGGTCTTTATGTGTTTGGAAACGGACGTACGTGCATTGATTTTATCTTGTTTTATACATACTATCCATCCATTTGTTTTTTATTGGAAAAGTGTAAATTATGAATCTCAGCAATAGTGATGCATGCACTTTACTGCCATACCATTTCTTACAAACAGCATCGGCATTAGTTTGAATGTTTTCGGTCGTCAAAAATGGCCAGTTCAATGTGCAGTCCCGCATTAGAGGAGGACCCGACTATCGACGACCAATTTGTCTGTTGCTCGCACCCTCTATTACAAGTCCAGATGGTGTCATGTGTATAAATAGTTGAAGTCCAGTGTAGGACACACAACATTGTTCGCTCCATTCGTTTCACTGAATCATCAGGTATTGATATCACATATTTTAGTAATTCACTCCTCCAAACAAGAAATGGATCTCCGAATATGATCGAGTTGATCCCAGTTTTTGGGTTTTATCAGAATTTCCCCTCATATTATCAATCCCAGATGGAAGAAGATAAGACATTAGGATCAAGACCATCGTGTAGTGTACTGTGATTCAATATTAGATCACAACGACAAGAATGGAAAACATTGCCAAAAACCATGTCGTTTCCTAAATAAAAGATTATGCCCTTGCACTTAGTCTAACTAAACTAGCCATCCGAGCAATCTTCTCCATTAGTTTGACGACTACACTGGTTTAACCAATGGAACGATAATTACAAACCAAACTGATAGTTGCGTCTTTCTAGTTCCTTGACAGTTTGGACTGCCTCAAAGACTTATTAACCAGTATGGCCAGAGGTTAAAAAATAACATCTTCCAAGGTTTTCATATTAGTAGTATGAATATTGTCAGGACTACTGGACTTACGAGGTTTAGGACGTTAAAGTAGGCGTAACATAGTTCCTTCCTCATCAATCACAAGACCCATGACAAGCCGCTACCATCATAATTAATTTTTAGTCTCTCATCATCGTCGACAGAAAACAGTCTACCAAATTTCTCTGATAAACCTTCAGCTCTTTCAGAATAATCCCTTGCAAAAATCAACTTATTTTCTTGTATCAGAAGTGATGAAACTAAGTCAC